CCTGAGCTAAAAATCAGTCTCATTGGGACCTTTCCCTTAGTAACACCTCTGCAATAATAAAACATCAAACGTTGGTGTTTAGTATCCCTTTGGGAGTCAGTGCCTACAATTGCCATTAGCAAATTGGCAAGAACAAAACTGAATGAGTCAGTCAAAAAATTATGATGCTAAAGAAAATGTGCGTGCGGAAGATATGTGCAGTTATCTTAAACATTGCTTGTCATTGTATTTTTGTTATGAAACCAATAAGTTAGCAACATTTTTAAAGAATTAAGCCAGCATCCCAAGACTTCCTGTGAGCGCTGTGTGTGCGTATTGCTACCCAAGCCCAGACTGACAGGGAGATGTAAAAGGGGGAAGATAGGACGATTCCAGGGGTCCCTGCCATTCAGAGGCCCTGTTAAACATCTGGGATGGGGCCCAATTTAATATGCTTTCATGGAGCCCAAAATCTGTAGCAGGGCCCCATGATATGTGTCTTCCAAGCTGATGATTCTACAGTGTCTGCAGCCCTACATTTCCAAGGAGATTAGTCTTCGAACATATGTGTGTGTCCCCCACCCCCACCCCAGCTTGCACTCCAAAGGTAAACCTCGCACACGCAACTGGGACACGCCGGTATGTGAAAACATACACTCATCATGCAGCATGTCCACGGAGCTCAGCAGAGGTGTTCTGCAAGCCGAGGGCTATTTTCGGAAGTTCATCCGCTGGGAACTGACCCTGTTTATAATTAGAGTGCTACTGTTGTTATTGTACACGTTGATCACAGAAACATTACCCTTTAATTTATTCATTGTTTGTTCATCTCTCGAGGCTTGATTGAATGGCATATTCCCAGAGGGTTTATCCAGATTCTGTTGCTAAAATGTTTAATATCCTGTAATGGATATTTATTTAAACTGTCAATATATACAGGAATGAATCCAGTACTGTTTGGTGTTTCATCACTTTTTGTTCCTGCATAATGTTGCATTTGTGGGCGGCTGTTTAGCGACGCGGTGTTCACAGCGATGCAGAGATCTGCAGCTGAGCGACTGTGCACCTTTCCTGTGCTCCAACACAGTCTGCTTTCACGCTGAATCCTGAGGCTTCATCTACATCCTGTAATTACACATTGAGGTAAATGCTGAGCAATTACCCCCAAATTAAAACTATTATCAGGCCAGAAGAAAGTGAGCTGTGAGGCACGTCGGATCCTGACTGTAAGCTTTGCCAAGTCGTGTATTTATGTGAAATAATAACCTTTACTTTTGACCTGTGCGGAGCCATGTGGTAGGTTGAAAATGCCAAAAGTTAATGCTGTACATTCTGGCTTCTCATTTCAAAGCAATTAGTAGAGAGTTAAAGCCATGAATGTATAATATCTTTATGATTACAAAAACGAGCCAAAATCTGAAGGGATCTATAAAAGTCTTCAACCTCTGCAAAGTAAATTATGGTACAACCAGACTGGGTAATTCTGTGACAGCCATATGCTGCTGACAATGTAAGCAGACTCTAGAATGTAAAACCTTTAGCACAACTGCCTAAATAAACAGCAAGAAAACAATTGACAGAAATCAGGATATACAACAGCAGTGATAAGAGGAAGGTTTTCACGATATTTCAGGTGCGAAACACAGGACTTTGCAAAACAGGGGGACTAGAAAGCATTTATTGTACATAGTGCAATGTGCATATACTTAAATGAGAAAACAGAAAAATATATAATGGAAATATAAATCTTTGTTTAGGAAAATAGAGAATAGTGCCCACAGACTGTAAACATTGCCAATATTACACTGTATAACTATATAAATAGATATGGAATCAACCCTGAGCCAAACCATATATTTCAATGACCCTTCTGAATTATAGTTAGGAGAAATGTAGAAAATCTGGACTCGTATGATATTGCCAAATTCTGTCTGTAACCCGTACACCTCGCCACAAAGAATGATCTATTTTATTACCTAATAATGATAATAATGCATAGAAGTTGCTTGCTGTCGATTCCCTCCTGCCCCCTCAGCCTGGAGCCCCCAGATACTTGAGAACCAGAATTTGAGACTTCAGTGTCATTCACTGTACAATACATCCCAACAACGATGCCCGCCCCCCTCCCACATTTGAAAAAGGATATTGTCACATTTCTGAGAAAATAAGAGAATATGGCTCCTGGACATCAAGGATTGGCACAGAAGGACAAGAACCTAGAACTGCTATTTGACAAAAAGAATATTGGCAGTGGCCAATAGGGGGCCCTGACACCAACTCTGCATTTCAAACAGCCTTCTTCCAGCTGGGAACATTCCTAATGTTTGTGTCCCATAAGTGTTTTAGTTACAGTGGTTGATTGCCAAAGTATTGAAAAATGCTCAAGGGCTCAAACCTCGAGGACTGGCAGCCTTGAGAACCAAGACTCCAAAAAACAAGGCTACAAATGGAAACTAATAAGGTTTTAGAACGAACAGTGGACTAGTTATCTCCTTAATCATATAATCTGATTCTGGCCGCATGCAAACATCTCCATAGTGATCATGTCATAGGACTGTATTTATTGGTTTGAATTCTGGTGAAAAATGATAAATTAGGCTTGTAGTCCCTGCTTTTGTAGTTAATGTTTTTTTGCTTTTCAAAATGCATCTCACATAGTCTTTGGGGTGGCTTATTGTAGTACAATGATTGCAGTTCAGAACCACAATACAAATGTATAGCGCCTGTCCTACGTAGGATTACACTTTGAGTTCAGCAATCCACCCACTCTCGTCCCCTCCCTTTGGCATCCCTTGTGCCCCTATGAGGCAAATGCTGTCATTAAACCACACCTTTGCCACTCCTCCGTCCTACTTTCCTCTGGGCCACCTTGTGGTTTAGCACACTTTTAAGCCTTTTCTCTTGCACTCTGACTCTTACGCATGGATTGGTCAATGTTGAGGGTACCCACAAATGACTGCCAGGTAAATGAAGAGGATCTGATATGTGTGGCAAAATAGCTCTGGGTTCAGGGCCTAGAGAGGGTTTGATTAGGAGGGCTTGATGAAACTTTAGTGGGGATATATGACGTCCATAACAGGGAGAATACAAAGCTGGCTGGGTGGTATTATAGAGGTTTTGACCTATTCAGTCGACATGAACACTATAAGTAAACATCACTATACAAGTTACTTTAATATACTGAATTACATCTCAATCAGGACAAGCCAGCTTTGCTGGAATTACAATCATTCAGCTTAGAATGAAAACAAAGTCTAATGTTGGGCACAGTGGAAACTATGACTTATGGGCTGTTTCAGTGTTCTTTGTTTCTTTGGAAAGTATGCCTCTGTCTGTTCATACTGAAGGGGAGGTCGGTGACTCAAGACCGGTTAGTAGATGTCTGTACTCACTGCCAATCGAAAATCCAGCCCTATCCAGACTAGATGTCTTAAGTCCAGTGGGGTTATGGTGGGCCAGCCAACAAGGCTGCAGGCTCCGTGGGGTGCTCCTTGGGCTGTGGCCAGCTGTCATGCTTTGAGGCAGAGCCTGGTGATGAATGTTCCTTCAACAACATAGCATTAACAGGATGATAAGCATTTGGTTATTTTACCTTATTGCAGATATTAGAGATGCATTTACCAAGAACATCGCAGAAGAAGAGGTCATGTACTGCCGTAGATGTCTATGGAAGGACAAACACTCATTTATTGTCTACCTCTGTTGTCGACCATTTGCAAATACGATGGTAATTAAAAATTCATTTTCCAGCCCATGTGTGCGTATACAACCAAATTTCGTACAGAATTAATGCAAAGAGAGATGAGATGTGAGAGATCTTTGAAGCACAATGATACTGTGCATGGAAGGCTGAAGTAAAGTTGTAAGCACAGTCGTGATCACGCCTAGGCTACCGTGATTTTCACTTAGCAACTATTTCACTTAACGTCCTGGTTGTTGGAACAAAACTTTTGTTAAATGAGAAGTGGATGTAGTTTTCTCATGACTGTCCCATTCTCTGCGCCCTCCACTGAAGCAGTCCACAGATCAGTTATGCTTATTTTCATTGACCACTGCCTCACTGCACAGGGTTGAGTCAGTGCAATGGCCCAACTTTAACTTTAACTGAGTCTGTTTAAATGCTTCATAGGTTTGTGCCAACTCAAAGAGCCAGGTGCAAAGGAAAATGCCGGAAAACGCCGTCAGGCTACACATCCAGCTGCACAACAGGAAAAACAACAACTAAAAATAAACTCTGCCTCACTGGCTGGCCCACTGGTTCTGAAAAGTTGTGAAAGACCCCTGGTTATTCTTCTGTGGTGGCCTTACATACAGTTTAGTACAAAGAAAACTGGGTTCAGCTGAGGCCCCGAAGAGAGCTCTATAACATGGTCTCTCAAATCAACAAAATACCTAAATTAATTTCTGTCGGAGTGGGCACTTCTCAGTATGGTGAAATTCCACTCTCTATTTTCCTTGGTAACACTGTCACTTCTAGAGAAAACAATCTGACGAGTAAACGGAGACTCCGTGGAAAGTTTCAACCAACTCTAAGCGCATGGTTACTTAGCATGGGATGAAAAATCAAACATGTGGGGAGAAAAGTACCGGTGTGATATTTTCACAGCTGGAATTGTAGTGTCTCATGGTAGCCAGTTGTATTTATATTTATATTTATATTTATAAACAAGAATTCAGACAAAATTAAAGTGTGACTAAATTCAGTCTAGTGCAGGGGTGGCCAATCTTATCCGCAAAGGGCCGCTCTGTATGCGGGTTTTCGCTGCTGCTCCCTAATTAGATTACCAAGTAGAGGACTGATTGGCTGAAGAGTCCTCACACCTGGGTTTGAACAGCTGACCTAAAGGTTGCCCCAAAAACCTGCATACACACCGGCTCTTTGCGGATAAGATTGGCCACCGCTGGTCTAGTGATATCAAAAACACAAGACTACTTGAATAGTGCGACGGCTGATAACCCCATTGGTCTCCCAAACCCACCCTCATCTCCCGACCATAACCTCCATGTGTTTGGTACTGCAGGCCAGGCGGATGCTGAGCTGCAGGGCTTCCAGTCCCACTACAAGCGGCAGTACACCTTGGCCTTCTTCACCTGGCTGCAGGATGAGGTGGAGCAGCACAAGGAAGGCCAAACACAGCTCCTTAAACAGAGGGTAAAAAGGGGCGAGCCTTGGGCTAAACTAGGGTTCTGAGGGCAGGGCAAAAAATGATGGTATAAAGAGAGATAACCAATTGGATTGTAGAGGAGGTGGGTCCAAGCTACTGGAGGAGGCAGGACCAAGAAATCTCATTGGTTGATCCAGCCTGCTTTAGTTGCCTGGACCCACCTCCTCTACAGTCTGATTGGTTACCTCTCTGAACTAATCATTTTTTGTTCTGCCCTTAGTAAAACTCCCATGAACATTAAACTACTGATCAATCAACAGCTTTAAAATGACATGATGGACATGCTGGTAATCATTCTACCAAGAAGCAGCGTGGCTGTGTAATTGAACAGGTTTGCCCCTCCCACCAGGAGCCCCCCCAGGCCACCGAGACCTTGTATTCAGAGAAGGTGCTATATTTCGATGACACCAGGAAGTGGAAGGAGAGGTTTGTGGTGGTACGGGGTGACTATAGTCTGGAGTGCCATGACAGCTATGAGGTGAGGGCCATCCTGCCAAGTCCATCAAGCATTATAGCTAGCCAGCTCAGCTGCAATGTGACTATGGTTTAACACTGTCTCTTCACATCTAGACTCTAATGAAAGGATTGCTGCCGCGATACAGTCTGCTGCCAGCAGGGGGCACTGTTCTGACTTCAGAGGAGAAGTACATGGCCCTGCTAGACAAGTGCTTCCCAGAACCCAACAGTGAGTAGATGTGTGGCGCTGAAACGTGATGCAGTGCTGAGCACAGGGAGGTCACTGGTTCGCCAGTTCATCCTCTTTGTTGCTAGTTCAAGGGGGAGGAGGGAAGGTTTTGGTACATTTACCAAGAGAACAACTTATAATAATGATACTACATTGATCGTTCGTCGGGAAATTCTCCTTTTGCCTTCCTCATCTTGTGCCCCATGACACACACACATGTGAGAGCAGGCTTGGCAGCGAAGGGCAGCTGCCTGCAGCAGCCCCCCTGGAGCTGGGGGGGTAAGGGCCTCGCTCAAGGGCCCACAGATGTCACTATTTTGCCGAGGTTGGGCTCAAACTGGAGACATTTTGATCTCAGGCACAGGGTTAGCCCACTGAGCCAGACGCTGCCCCCTTATGTACCCAACCAAGGCAGAGCAGCAGGATGCCTCTCCATCATAGAAGACATGCACTATGGGCAATTTAGGGTCATCAATTCATCTTCTTTTGATGTCTTTGGACCAAAGATGGAAACCACGCAACACAGGAAGAACATTTGACCAGTAACCAGTAGCTGACAGTGCCTTCTAGGTCACGCCTAGTGGCAGACTGCAGGACTGCATGCTAGTAGGTTTTGTAGCAGTGCACTCTATATTAACCTCTACTTGATCCATAAAGGTGTAGGACAGGTATAGTATTCCTAGCAAAGGAGCCCAACTTCTCGTGAAACAGTTCACTGTGGCCACGACCCGCGTTTGCAGCTGCCCCTGTGTGATGGAAGCTGCCCAACGTTGTTAAGTGGACCATGGTTCTCCTGGCTCTGATGCCCCTTTAATGAGGTTGGCTGTGAATATCTGAGGCCTGAGTTTAAATGCTACATTTCCTGGTGCAACACATAAACACGCATCGCTTTATCTGTGTGGTGCGTGACCATGGAGAAAAAGAGAAAACAAGGCCAGGGGCCGGAGCTGCTCCGCAGGGACAGTATTTGTTTTTTTTACTACATTGACTGTATGAAAATAAGTCTTGCTGGGACATTATTGTTCAGATGTCAGGTTTTTATGCATGACCTCTGTTTTCAGCACGTGCTCTCCTGCTGGTCTGACATTACTGAGCTGTTTTGACGATGATGCTGTCTACAGAAATGGCAAATCTTGGCTACATGTGTTAACCCCCTCTCTCACCCTGAGGCGTGGGTTGGGTTTCCAACTGCAGGTGCGAGCGAGGAGTCTCCCCCACCGGTGGTCATCCCCCAAGGCAAGTTCCCCGTGTTCCTGAGCCTGCCGTACCACAGGGACTCCTACTTCTGCTTCCAGAGTGAAGACCTGCAGAACGCCTTCATCTCTGTCCTGACAGACTGCATCCGACACCAGAACTACGGTACCCATGCATGGGTGGGGGCAGAATGGGGTAGAGTGGGACTGTTTATGAATAGGTGCAGCCTTAAATTTAGCAAATTACCAAATCAAGGTAACCTGTAATTGATCATCTCTCCTGTCAGTCATGTGATCATATGAACATGGCAAAAATGTTGTTATAGACCTGGACACATATTAATTATGGAATCAGTGTGAGTTCAGTCCTCCAAGTACAGCTGGGAACCCTGGAGTTTAACGCAGCTGAGTAACAGCAGCCATCAACGTGCTGTGCTGCGTTAAGTCACATGACTTTAACCATTCGGGTCATTCCAAAGTTCTTTTGTGGTTAATTTTCTTATTATATATACTGTACTTTGAAGGTTCCTCTCATCCTCAATAAGAATGTTCACGGACAGTATAGGGCTGCAAGAAGGAACCAGAAGATTATCCCAGGCAGTATGGGAAACCTTTCCATCACAGAGCACATGCACACACAGACAAGCACAAAATCATGGGCAATTTAGAGAATCCAGTTCACCTAACTGCATGACCCTGGAGTGTTACTGTGAATCCACCTGACAGGGCAAGCTGCATATAACTGGTCTTGAGGACTCGTTACATGTTGGTATGTAACAGAGCTTGGGAGCCTGGTTTTACTGGGTCATTCGTACCCAGAGCCACAGTGGCTCAGTCCTGCTCCGCACCAATGAGCACGGAGAGCAGTGAATAACGGAAGGCCTCACTTCCTGCGATGAAAGGCGTTATTTTTAGCTGCTGGTGAGCCACTCTGTAGGCGCTCTACAGTGACATACACTGCTGTTCTCACTGCAGAATCAGAATCTATATTGCCACATTATCTAATATTTTCACCAGCCTTAGTTGTGTGGCAGTAAAGATTCTGAGATCAATTACCAAAGATACTTGTCCCTTCACAGGCAGAAATTTGTTTTAATAGTTAAATTACTGCATTGTTTTTTTAAAGGAGGGGATTTTCACTCCCCTCACACGAAGCTGTGTGTCCCTGCCAGAACAATGACTTCATGAAATAACATGGTAACATTTGCCAGAAGGCCGTAGTTTCACCACAACGCACCGCCTTCTGCCCATCCAGACTTCCCGAGGAACACCTCATATGAAGCCCACGCCTTCTTGAAAGCCGTCCGCTTCTACAGGGAGGAGAAGGGTCACCACGAGTCCTGGGACATGCTCATGGGCAGTGATGACTCAGTAAGTGGCCTTCCTGAAAGCCACCATCACCTGTTCAAAGGCCCCTAAATCTTTGTCGTTATCCCGGTGTCTGAGAGCTAGGCCTGATGTCACAAACAGTGCCACCTAGAGGACAGGAGTTTGCATATATGAGGGACGTAATCATAGGGGGTGTGGACAGAAATCCCTACCTGGTTTCCTTTATGGCCTCAGGATGGTTTCCATGTGGAGGTTGCCACAGGCAGACAGCAAAACCGCAGGCCGGCGACCCGGTGACCCAGCGACCCAGCGACCCGGCCCCTGACATGCACCCAGCTCACGGCGCTCTCTTCCCTGTGTGGGCTCATGCAGGTCCTGGCCAACTTGGTAATGGAAGAGCTGATCCCTTCTCTAGAGGCAGAGCTGCTACCTCGGCTGAAGGGGAAGAAAGCAGACCAGAGAAGAGCCTGGTTTGCGGTAAGTCCCACCCCCTGTAACCAGAGCCTTTCACCGGACAAAAAAGTAAACATAGAGAAATAAAACACACTGTACATTATTCTAAAAATAGGTAATATATCCCTGAACTTTAAATCTACTGATGTTAAATTCAGCTGGTCATACTCTTATCAGCAAATTTTTAACATATTTTACTTTTTATATAACCTAACATTATCTTTGTGCATTTTAAATATCACATCAGACTTCCTGTATATATAAAGGTATAACTGTCACATTTACAAACCGCTTGTCTTTTGTTTTATTACATCCTGAATTACACCAAGTCTCTCCATGTACTTGCCCAGTACATACTGGTGGCATCCAGTGCTAATTAAAGCTGTGATTACCCTTCGCCTGGCTTTCCACCGTGGGGGTGGGGGAGGGGGGGGGGTCACACCGCAGCAACATGTCCCCTCACCCCAGTCGCTGTGCTTCGTTGGTAGACGGTGGAGGCGGCGTACCTCCTGGTCCAGGATCAGCTGCAGAAGGGATTTACGGCCCTGAAAGCCGAGTGCCAGGAGGCAGCCAAGCAACAAGAGGGGCTGATTCGCTCTCACATGGATGAGATCATCAGCTCGCGGGCCTTCCTGGCTGGCAAGCTCAGAGGTACCAAGCCACACTATCAACCAATTTACTTTTGCATTTACTTATTTAACAAGCAGTTTTATTCTAAGCAACATACTATTGAGAAGGCAGAGGTTAAGCAATTGGGGTTAAGGGCCTGGTTCAGGGGCCCAAAAGTGAAATCGCCGAGATTTAAACCAACAACCTTCTGATGACAGGCAGAGCATCCTAATCCTCTGAGCCACACGCTGTCCCTTCTTGTATTTCTACTGGAATATATTAATCTTTTTTACCCCTGTAGCCACTGTGAAGGAGCCAGCAGTGAAGTTCTGCTCAGAGAATGTCCAGCCATACCTGGCCTCCATCCTGGAGGAGATCATGGGCCCCATTAGCTCTGGCTTCCAGGAGGTACGCCAGCACTGTGCAAGCCACATGGACCAACTCTGCCGGGACTTCCAGGAGGTCCACGGTGCAGAGGAGCTCAAACAGGTGGGAAGGGGTTCCAGTCACGGGAGTGCCAGTAAATATCCCATGTACTAGCTCAGATGTCCCCTCAGAAGCACGTAGATCCAGCTGGATCCGTGCCTCACTGGCAGCCCTGGGTCAGATCTCTCTCTCCTCTGATGTAGGCTCTGGAGCAGATGGGGAGGGCAGAGCTACAGGACTGTTACAGGCACGTGGACGCCCTCAGCCATCAGCTCCTGGGGCTCCATGATCGCTTCGGATTCTCCAACAGCAGCTGGCTGGTCCACAGCACCCAGATTGACATGCAGCAGGTGGGACCCATTGCAGAACCAAGCTACGGTGTAAATATAGCTACTGCAAATGCGCAGTGCTTTTAAATGCCCCATCAACTTATGTATATTGCATTGTAACATGGCACATCCTAAAATCCTAACATATTTATCCTTTGTTGCCCCCTATTGTTAACAAAAGCTCCCTGCAGTCAGTTTCTGCCCTCAGTGAAATATTTTGCTGCACTGTACTTTAGCTGATGAGGAACGCAGCATACACGTTTGAGCTGCTTCTCCAAACAGCACTGAAGGACAACCCCCCCAAACTGGCCTCAGCCGTGGAGAAAGTGAAGCAGCGCGTCCTTAAGGTGGGCTGCACTCACATGGATCCATATGTTCAACCGTCAGGCGCCGGTCTAAATGCCCTGTGTTCATGTCACTGTTTATTTAAAGCAATATGACTACGACAGCAGCACGGTGAGGAAGAGGATCTTCCAGAATGCTCTGGTGGACATCACCCTGCCTGCGATCAAGCAGAGCGTGGCTCCAACGTGTAGAGCTGTAGGTTCCTGCAGCCTGGCCCTTACTGGTCAATGTGCTCCGTGACAAAGGGACACCCCAGCAGGGCGTGCAATACAAAGAAAAGAAACCATGCATACATGTTCCACCATAATGATTTCATTAAAAAAGTTTTTCTCACATGTGTGACTCAGGCAAAGTAGACCATATGCCTCAAATTTTAGAAACAACAGTAGCTAGTATTCAGCAGGATTATTTACTTGTAAAACGCTAGATTTAGTTTAAAAGACTATTATTTTGTAAAATATATTTCTTTGTTTAGGAACTACATAAATTTGATCAGTATATCTTTGCTGATTATGCAAATTTCATCCAAGTGGAAAATGTCTATGAAGATATTCTGCTGCAGATCCTGGAAAGTGAAGTCATCAAAGGTACCAGAGCAGCTCTGAGTTTCCGCGATAAAAGCGTGGACCTACCCAGAAGTCCGAGGGCTCGTGTCCTGCTCAGTGTAGCAGCACATTTTTGTTTGCAAAAACAAAAATGGCGCTTCTATCTCATATGCTATCAAATTATCTATAGTCACAGTACATTTATTTTTCAAATTTATAGCAAAATAACAGTTTTATTAAGCATGCTCCTTATTCTCCCTGGCCCTAAAATTGACCCATAAAAGTAAAAATAGCTATATAAAATATAAAGTAGTAAAATAAATGCTCTGCTTTCACAAAAACCTGAACCACAGATGTTCTCCCTGGCATAAGGCAGAACACTTAGAGCATAATGGGATGGCGCTCATTCAGTAAACGTGGGACTCTTTTTACAACAATGTTTTAATATCTGTTTTTCTGCTCTCGTTCTTTACAGTGGTGAAGGAGGCGGCCAGTCTGAAGAAGCACAACCTCTTTGTGGACAGCACAGACCCGCCCTTCGTCAGCCAGTCCAGTCTAGGTGACAGTCGGGCTCCGCTTGAAGCCACCCCCACCAAAGTCCACCCCACTGCTCTGGCTCTTGGGGACAGTGTCTCAAGCAGTCTGGTGGAGAGAGACTCACCCAGTGTGCCGCAGGAGGAGGAGGAGGAGAAAGTGGAGCCTTCTAGCTCAGCTGAGACGGAAGAGGACGATGCATCCACCAGCCAGACAGGGACTATGGAGGAGGACTGGACAGCTGAGTCAGCTCAGATGAGAAAGGTTGATGTTGAGGACAGGGCTCATTCTGAGGAGCATCATTATGATAACGTGGCTGTCGTAGAAGGGCCAGCTGCCGAAGGGGGCGTCACACTGGAGGGCACACATCATCATTTAGATACCATGGAGAAAATGAAGGTGAGTGAAGAATCTAAGAGGCTTCAGACAGAAAAGATGGAGATGGATGACATGCCAACTCTGGGCCAGATAAAGGAAGGCGAGATGGATGATGCAGCCAGGGTAGTTAAAGGAGATGAGTCAACCTGTTCCAGTTCTCCTACTCTGACAGTGGACTGCAGTGAACCTCAGACAGCCAAGGTGCCAGGAGCCGCATGGCAGCTTCTTACTGAGGAGACCCATTTGGAATGTCCTGTAGAGGTGATCAAAGACTCCGATCCACTAACCCCTCGCCCTGACCTTAACGCAGAAGCACAGGATATCAGGGCTCACTCAGAGGAAGCCGATGACGGCACAGTAACCGTTTCTGTGAGTGGCGATGTAATGACAGCTTACAGAGAGGACAACTTTGACCTTTGACCCTCTAGAATGCACAGAGGTCACCCAAAGGTTTGACTCTGCTTCCATGGCCACAGAAAGACAGGCATGTCACCATCTCAGGCATTCCGTTGAGGACAAATCCATAGAATATTTCACTCAATCAGTCAATCAGTAGACAAACACTGCTTTGTGCCCCCCCCCCCCTACAAGGACCTCAAAGCTGTGGCAGGGCAGCCCCAAGAGCAGCCACCCCAGAGCTTGTGAAGGAGAGCCAGGAGATCCTGGTGGAGAAGACAGAGGTGGAGGAACTGCTGCTGGGGAATCCAGATAAAGGCAAGGCATAGAGTTCAAAGGCACATGCAAATCTGCGGGGTACAGTGGGTGTACATCTAGTCAGGGAATGGCACAGAGCACCTAATCATGCAATTACTTTCATGAATGGAGCGGAGATTAAGTTAGAATCCCCCCTCCATCACAGAAACACAGAATGCTTCCTGTCCCAGCTTGGAATCTTGACAAACTATCATTTGTGCATAAATATATCTGTGCTTTGCTATAATTAATGTGCATAGGTGCTGCATAGGAGTCACTGAAGGCCAAAGACTTTTCTAGTTTATTCTACAACTAAATGTGTGTCCCAAACACAAGAAGCACTTCCATTGACTCTACACTATTTTTCTATTTTATTTTGAGATGTATTTTGAACAACTGATCTATCATTTTCTGCATGAGCACTGCCACTGCCTGTCACAGTAACCATTAGTTACAGGAGGATGATAAAGCTGTTACTAACTGACAGGAACGCTCTACATGCTAAACTTAGCGGCCGGTTGTTTCGGATTTGCTATGGTGTCAACGTCCCACAATGGTTTCTCCTTTAGCAACCGACTGAGCACCACCCCGCGTCATGAGCCACACCTCCCCACTGCACCATGACAGGAATCACAAAGCCAATCTGAGCTGCTGGTGTATTTTCATCCTTTCCCGGACAGCTGGGAAAACAGCTAATCTAGTCATCCTGCACATTCTGCATTTAAATGGTCGCAAGCAGATGAAATAGCAGCCAGCCTGTTCTGTATGAACAGTTCTGTTGTAGACACTGTTCATAATGTCACACTTCAATGTATGTAAGACGGAGGACGGTCAGATTAGCCCTGTTAGGAGCGTCACGCACATGCCCTTGGAACCAAAGAATACACATAATTCATATAAGAAAGTCTGGTTCAGTCTTTGGTTTATTAATGTACAGTCTGTCGTATTATATTGATGAACCAAAACAACAAAAAGCAAAGTCATTTGGAAAATATGGCTATTTACAGTGTCACATGTGCAGGAAAGGTCCTAGCCAATGTGGCGCCCTAGGTGAACATCACCGCCAGCGCCCCCTGTCTGAGGCTAAGTGAAATTGGCTGGCAAGACAGCGCCCCCTATGTCCCCTATAGGATTGACCGGCCCTGCACATGTGTAAGGACTAGTTTGTCTATTTTTTTTCCGTTTTGTCATGGAATTCAGTGCATCCGCAATATTTCAGAAGAGACTGCAAAGTATATGTATAAACATATCATTTCATTAAATCACTTGAAATTGTATACTAATACAATGAGAAATGTGCTGTTACAAACTAATAAATCCAACTGAAAGCCAAAACCCTCATTTCATGGTGTGATGCTGTTGTGTTTTTGCCCCCCATATTACTGAGAACAAACCCAGAATATATGACACAATGTGCCCATCTCACAAACAAACATGGCCGACCTCCAACAGGAAAGAACTCGGACTGACTTTTGGTTTCATTAAAGTCTCACATTCTTCTATGACATTACACGGCTACATGAATATTCAGTTGAAACCAAACACGAAATACCTGCTATGAATATGTGTGACACTGAGGTAGGACAGTATGAAAGACTCATAGCTATCTTTCGATGGCAGTTACTACTCTTTACATGATCACGCCAATAAAATGAAATTGTACTGTTATAAAACCTGACATGGCTAATGTTAGAAGCCAGGTCAGGGCATGCCTTTGATGCAGGCCTCTTAATAAAGCTTCTTAAGCGCGGATGAGATTACACCTCATTAGGTAAGTAAAGGAATGTACAGTGTAATAAAACACACATGCGACATTCCTGGAATGCAAGGCTTGGGTGGCCGGGACGTTACCCAAATGTCACCTGTCTGAGTCACCTGACACAGCAGTTAAAGGGGTAAAGTGTTCATTTGGAGAATCCAAAGCCATAGCAGAACTGCTCATCTGGACGGAACCCGTAGGCGGTAGCAGGACGTCCCAATGATCCACTTCTTTGTCTAAATCCATCGTTCTCCAGGCTGGGGGAAAGATGATGGTGTTTTTAATTGTAGGTTAATTAGTGTTCTGGTGGCTTTTGACATCAATAAGCCAACAGTAGATAAGGGCCCTAGCCGAACAAACAAGCTAGATTGCAGTTTGCTTCTCTGACACTAGATGGCGAGCTAATGTAGTCTTTGAAATAGACGCTGACCAGTGGATCACAGCGGACACACAGGGAATTCAAAAAAAGATGACAAATTAAAGCATAAATATGCAGCCTCATTGTGTTTTAGTTTTACTGTTAAATAGATTTGTTATTCAAAAATGCTTTACGTTAAAAACGTAAAATGATCTCGGGATCATTTTATTCATTTAAAAAAAAAATAAAAAAAATGTAAACAAGCAACACTGCAGGTTATCATGATGCTGAGTGGTCCTGAGTCAGGAGCAGCTGATACGCGTCAGTGAAAGCTGCAAGCGTAATGGATACGTCATAACGAAGCCGACACCAAATGCTCTCCTCCGGGCTCCGACGTGGCAGCTGCTAGCTAGACCCGGTGGCCTTTAAAATATGAGCTGTTTACTTTGTCCCCACGCGCTCACAAACGACCTGTTGTTTTAGACAAAATCACTTCCAGCAATCAGTTATGCATGCCGGCCTTTATAAATGCTAACCCCCCCCCAAGCACCCCTCCCCCTAACGTCTGGGGAAAAACAAAATATATATATATATGGCTTTTTCCTATTGGCCTGCCAGCACTGTCGGAGGAAATTTTGCTCATAATTAATAGGCCTTTGCGGCTGGGGGCCATGGGGCCGTTCGGGGCTTTACGGCGGTTTCCAGCGCTCAGCCCTGTGTTTGACCGGAAGCCTGGCTTTACTCCACAGGAGCCTGACGGAGGAGCTGCCCGCTGGTCACAGTGTCACCCCATCCTGCAAAGGGACTTAAACGTAAATGCAAGGCCTGTAAGGAGCATTTGCGGGGGGGAAAAAGGAGGGGGGGAACGACCAAAACACACATATCTTTTGGATCTGGACGTCACACATTATTAGGGGGAAAGGCGTTTCCTGGGAGATGCTGGGACTGACGAGCGGATATTGGAGAGCAGGTACAGAAAATAAAAGGGGCGGGAGACCGTGAGACTGACTCTGCTTCGTGTGTAAACCCTGTGATCTAAGGCAGCGGGCTTCCCGTGCAATTAAACCTCAGCTTGTCACCTCGTTTTTCCAGCCAGAGGGGCTCGGAGGTCAAAACACAAAGGGGGCTAGTGTTGGAGGCCAGGGTTGGTGACTTGGCGCGGCCGGACAGAGGCCCGTAATAAAAGAGCACATACAGACACAAGGGCTGGGTTTTACGGGTCCTGGAGCGAGCGAGCTCACAGGAAGAGCTCTCCGGCCCGCGCACTTTGATCTCTCCCTGTCACTGCTCAGGTTACACATCCCACTTTACTGGCCTGAAGGAATCAGCAGATTTTTTTTTTTCATTCCTTCTGATTGCCCTGCCATATTTTTTTACATTACTGAGCTGCTTAGCCCCTGTCAGGGAGTGCTGTCGGGCCCCGAGGGGCCTTCAAAGGGCCCACTGATTGCTTTCTTTCCTCCCTCCTGCTTCCAGCCCAGTGAAATTTAGGTACCTCTTAGCGGACAGCCTATAAGGAGGGCTACTGCTGTGCATTGCCCACATTTCAGAGAGAGCTCCATCTGGCCCCTGGGTACAGTCACAGACGCAGGCCTGCTAGGCCAGTGGCGACAGAGGCCTGCTGCTAGTTCCCCGTTTGGTTAAGCACCGTCACCCACTGTGAGGGTCTGCAAGGGCACTGCGCGACTGTCTTTTCAGCACAAATGGACATCCATCCACCCATCCATCCACTCATCCATCCACCCATCCATCCACTCATCCATCCACTCATCCATCCACTCATCCATCCACTCATCCATCCATCCATCCATCCATCTTCTAAAACTGTTTATCCAATCCAGGGTTGCAGGAATCCAAGGAAGCACATAACAGGGAACGTCAATGCCGGGCAACTTAAAGACCAACAATCCAAATGGTTCTTTTTAATAGCTACTTTACAATAAGCCTCTATAAAACTCATATTTCTACTGGAGCACAGAATAAATGACGGAACTAATTTCACATTATGGCGAAAGGTTTACATTTTTACATTTCCCAATTTTGGAATCACAGGTAAAGCAAATATCATATAACACTGCAGATGTTAAAATTGTTAATAGAGGTTTAACTGTTTGAAAAACCAGGCATTTAACACTCAGTTAATTTTAAGGATTATTTATTTAAAAAAATAGTGATTTTAATGATACATATTTTTACACCTCTTTAGAAGACGGCAAATTAATGATCCTTCTGTGCATCACAGAAAAGCGGCCTTTTAAAAAAAAACAGCAGATTAGTATCCTACAGCAAAGTCAGGGTAAAATGAAAATACAAATCAGGGACGAATGGCTTTTCAGTAAACATCTATTTTTTACTAGGAAACATTATTACGGCCTTGGACAGGGAGATGTTTAATTCTCAGGCCTGGTCTACATCTCTGAGTCCCTCAGACTCCCGAGGCATGTTTGTAGCAAGACTGTGGGACTGAGGCAAATGGCAGCTCGTGACACCTTGTGCGGTCAGACGACACTCCCCCTTGAGCGGACTCACCTGTCGTAGAAGATATTTGGTCCTGAGATGTCTCCGTTTTGCATCTGGAAGTCACTGAAGAACTCTGGACTGATCGAACCATCGGATGCGATTAATCCATCTGCACAAAGGACCGGGAAGAAGCATTCAGGATAAGAAACGTGACTTGTGACTGTCAGTAAGGCTGCAGGTTGCAATCCAAGGAGTGTTCCTGCTGTTGTACCTTCAGTGATTAATCTGAACTGCTTCAGGAAACACCTGAGTATTACGTTAACTGCATGTAAAGCTCTGCATTGTTGCATGTTGCATGTGTCTGTGAACATCAACAATATTTTATTATACAGATTTAGAATGTTACATAAAAGGGAGTGCTGTTGTTGTTGCTCAGAGGTGGCAATTTCAGGTCCAGAAAGTAAAAATCCAGACCATGATTTACTTTCAACCAACCAGTTGAGTATATAGAGTCACAGTCACAGAGTACTCAACTGGTTGGTTGAAACAAAATCTTGGTCTGGATTTGTACTTTCTGGACCTGAAATTTCCACCTCTGTTGTTACTGCTCTCTCATTTCAGGTCACTAAAGGTACCTGAAGCTGGCTGAGGGAACCACACTTTGAAGCTATTAAAGTCCATGAATGAGACAATTAAGCGGACATATTTTAACACTGCAGTTCTAATGCCGAAGCACTGAACAGGAAGAGTAACTTTGACACAAAGTCCAGGCCCAGTGTCCCACCCACCGGCGCTGTAGAAGAGGTCGGGTCGCTCCAGTACGTCCTGGTCGTACAGGAAGGGCCCGCCGTCGTCGTTGTACGCGTACGCCTCCAGGTCGCCCATCTGCCGGCTCGCCACCATCTCCAGCCAATGAGAGTTGTGCCAGCAGAACTTCTGGCTCTGGATCATCCTCCCCCACTCTTGGTCATGCTCCTGGGGAGAGCATGACGTCAGCACCACACCGCCCAGGCCGCTCACAGAGCGCCATCACACTGAGCCCTTTTTAGGGCCTCAGCTCTAAATTACAAACTGAATTGTTTACAGCTGCGGACAGACACCTATCTCAGCAATATCACTCAGCCAAATGCAAAACCATTACACTGCAAATCTGATCATTAGCATTAAAAGTTATCTGGAATGAGGGAAAATAGCACAAGAATATCACTTTCATTTAATGTCGATTAGGGCTCCATGCTGTGCTCTAAAGGTAAGGTGCACTTTAACGTATACATGCAGATTCTTTGCTTTCCACATGCCCCATTTTATTCTCTACGGGAGACAGTTTTGGGGTCAGGGCACTGGGTCAGTTAGAATGACATAATTGGTCCTATTGGCTACAGTATTCTTACCTTCCAAATACATGCATCCCATATATTCTGCATATATCCTTAAGTGTTTCTCAACCCGGTCCTCAGCCACCCACAGTCAGTCCGTGTTTTCGTTCCCTCCGAGCTCCCTGCCAGACAGTCCACATTTTTGCTCCAGATAGGGAGCTGGGAGGGAGCAAAAACATGGGCCGTCTGCGGATCGGGAAACACTGCTCTAAGATGCTGAGCTATACACTGAGCTCTGTCTCAGGAGAAAACTAAGAGTGGAGTAATAGACCAAGTAGTGGATATAAGAGGAGGCTGGACAGGACTTTTACGGTGAAAGGAGGAAGGGCGGCGCTGCAGTGTCCCGCTTTGCACGGCTGCAGAGAGGCAGCTACAGTCAGAAGCCCGGGGGCCGGCATCCCCTGATCAAATGCAGAGCTCCTGCACCCCTTCATGTGGCCACGGCTTAATAACCTCCGTAATCATCTCAATGAAACACTTCCACATACACAAGTAGGTGGGGGAAGGGTGGTGAGTAAGTAAGGGGTAATTAGAAATTTGCAGTGGAAAGGCAGTGGGCCACAGAGGGGCTATCACCCCTAACGCGAACGAGGGCCATGCATTCCGGCCTGCCCAGAGGGCCGCCAGGAGACTCACGGCGATGATGTCCAGGGTGCTGTTGCAGACTTTCTGGATTTCTCTGTTCCTGTCATGCATCAGGTCCATGATGTAAGCAGGGGCTGCTTAGGTGGCATTAAGGAGGAAGCACCAGTGTTACTCAATGGATTGGTTCACAATGACCTTTTATACACCGATGCAAGAATGACAGGAATAAAAATAATAAACCATTTTGTTTTAATGGGGGCATTTATTTGTTGGAAAAAAGAAGTCACAAAAGGATCTGCATGTACAATTTATAATCTAATAATGAAACTGGAAAAAGAACATTAGTTACTAGAACAGAAGACTGCGGGGCATTTGGGGAGGGCAGGGGGGTTGCGGGAAGGATACGGGTCTCCTTGATGATGACATCTCTGGTTGCCTGGTGAAACACCATCTGGTAGAAGACGTAGATGATCTGAGAAACAAACTCATCATCTTCCTGTTGAGCTGAGAGAGATAAAGGGTGAGTTTTTTTTTTCCTGTGTTAATGTGAAGTCTTTTGTGCAGCTCAGTGACACGCATCATCCTTCCATATAAAAGGATTTTCATTTCAATTGATCCGTTTCATTCACATAAACACAAACCACAGTAGAGGGTGACAGCACTGTACCCACAAGGCTTTGGATCATCTGTTTGCTTTGCTCTAGCTGCCTCCTGCCTGTTGTTTTTCCATTAGACAGCTCATTTTAGCTCTTCCAATAGATGGTAAGAAATGTGCCATTGAGCAGTAGCAGGACTGAAAGATCTCACTATCCAGGAGCTGCAGATTAAAACTACACTTTTAACTTTCCGCTGAAAGTGCTCGCTGGTCTTCCCCAACATAAATAACGGCTCTACATTCCTTTTCCAGGGGCTCATTCATCAGCATCATGCATACAGAAAGCTTTGGTGGCTCATGCAGCATCACTCATGAAGAATGTGCACTTTTATACTGTTTTTATTTACCTCTACCAGACCAATATTTTGAGTTCATACATAGACTGTCCGGCCGTCCATTTCAATATGCAATGCTATGCACGCTCACCATTGAGAAGCTCGATAAGTGCAGGGATTATGCCAGATTTGGCCAACATGGCGGCACAGGCGTCGTCCATGGAGACGGTTCCCAGCAGGATGACCACATCTAGGATGAGGTCGTCCTCAGTCGAGCCTGGTTACCGGGGGGGGGGGGGGGGGTGTAGGATGCCAATGTCAAAGCAGGGGAGGCTGCAGACTCGTCACAGCCCCCCTCCCCAGAAAAAGGTACCGACCGGGTTTCAGGTGCTCCTTCAGGTAGGGCACCAGATCATACTCTCTCAGCACCAGCTCCCAGTCCAGGTCGGGGATGGTGAGGTTGGCCAGTGTGCCCAGGCACTCGATCACAAACTCCTCCTCCTCGCCCGGCCCAATCTGGGCTGCCAGGTCACCCACATAATCCTGGGAAAGGGACATGGCTGTTGGACTTCAGCCCCAGGGACGTGCACACTGTCATACACCTTACACCGTCCATCATGTGACAGACTCACGAGGAACAGCTGCTTAGAGGGGCCATTGTGTTGAGAAATATTCCTAATCATCTTCATCAGCAAAGCGTCCTTCAGTTTCAGCGCCCTCTTCATCAGCATCCTCAGGCCGTTACCTGAAGAGCACAGACCGACCGCTACTTTTCCAAGAATACAGACTATTAAACGATTTTTTAATAATAATTTGCAGCCACAGTACTTGGGCTGTGTCGCTTGTGCACGTGACTGCTGATCAGCGTAAGCTGCCCCCTACAAGGCATGCTGGGACTTACCATCACGTGACTGCTGATCAGCTTACGCTGCCCTCTACAGGGCATGCTGGGACTTACCATCACGTGACTGCTGATCAGCTTACGCTGCCCTCTACAGGGCATGCTGGGAC